CCCCCCCCGCCCTGCCCGGCGGCATCAGGCACCCCGGCGGACGACCCGTCCTGGGGTCCTCACAAGCTGGCCCTGGTGGTTCCCTTCAGGGAGCGCTTCGAGGAGCTGCTGGCCTTTGTTCCCTTCATGCACGGGTTCCTGAGCAGGAAGAGGATCCGACACCACATCCTGGTCATCAACCAGGTGGACCGCTACAGGTGAGGGGGCGGGGCCAGCCAGCAGGCTCCGCCCACCACGGCCAGGGGCAGGATCCTTCTTCTTCTGCTTACCATTCTTGCACACAGACAGCTGTTTCTGAGCTGCTTCTTCTTTGGCTCTTCCTTCTTTGTCTTCTTATTTTTGTTTGTTTTTCTTCTACTTCTTTTTGTTTTTCTACTTTTTCCTCTTTGTTTTTTCTACTTCTTCTGCTTCTTCTACTGCCAGGGGCAGTATCCTTCTTCTTCTAATTCCCATTCTTGCACACAGACAGCTGTTTATGAGCTGCTTCTTCTTTGGCTTGATCTTTTTCTTCTTCTACTTTTGTTTTTCTACTTCTTTTACTTCTACTTTTTGTTTTTCCATTTTGTGTTTTTCTACTTCTTTTACTTCTACTTTTTGTTTGTCCTCTTTGTGTTTTTCTACTTCTTTTTGTTTTTTTCCACTTCTGGTTTTTGTTTAGTTTTCGACTTTTAGTTTTTCTTCTTCTTCTTTCTGTTTTTCAACCTCTTTTTCTTTTGTGTTTCTACTTTTTCTTTCTTTCTTTTTCTGAGCTTCTTCTTCATTGGCTTTTTCTTCTTTGTCTTCTTCTTCTTTTTGTTTGCTTTCTACTTCTTTAACTTCTACTTCTTTTTTTCCTCTTAGTTGTTTCTACTTCTTCTGCTTCTTCTACTTTTTGTTTCCTTCTACTTCTTTTCGTTTTTCTACTTCTACTTCAACTTTTTGTTTTTCTACTTTTTGTTTTTCACTGCTTGTGCTTCTTCTACTTCTTTTTGTGTTTCTACTTCCTCTTCTTCTACTTTGTTTTTTTTCTACTTTTGTTTTTCTACTTCTTAGTCTTTTTGTTTGTTTTTCTACTTTTTCTGCTACTTTTCTGTTTTTTACTGCTTTCTTCTTATTTTTGTATTTCTGCTTCTTCTTGTTGTACTTTGTTTTTCTTCTTCCTTTACTTTTGTTTATCTACTTCTACTTTTTGTTTTTCTTCTTCTACTTTTTTGTTTTTGTTTTTTCTACTTCTTCCTCTGTTTGTTTTTCTACCTTTTCAACTTCTACTTTTTTTTGTTTTTTTTACTTTTTTTTTTCTTCTTCTTCTGCTACTTTTGGCTTTTCTACTTCTTCTACTTTTTTTGTTTTTCTACTGGTTCTGCTTCTTTTTGTTTTTACTACCCCTGCTGCTTCTTGCACTTCTTTTTGTTGTGGTTTTCTTCTTCTTCTTCTGCCCCTTCTTGCTCACAGCCATCTGTTTCTGACCTCCTCCCCCCTTTCCCCCCCTCCCTCTCCTCCTCCCCCCAGGTTC